AAAATTAGTATATATAATATATATATATTAGTCCCCTGTAATTAGGCGGCCGCTTTAGGTGCCTGGCCTGCCCCTCGATTGTGCTTCCATATTTGGCTCCACCCCAGATTGTGATGGGGAGTGTCCTGTTGTGGGTCATGTGATTGGACTGCTCAGTCTAAAATGCATGGGCCTTTTTTTTGTCCCAGCCCGGCCCTGATTATTGTAGATAGATATGTAGATATAAATAAAACACCTATTTTAAAAGCTGTCTATTCTTGCTGCATAGAAAACCATAAATTAGTTATAATTCATATAGAAATGCTTCTACTGGTGAAAAAAATGATATTCTACTATGCTTAGACCTGGAGAATTGATGAACAAATGTTGCTTTAACAAAACTATCCAGATGAATCTTGATCCAGTGTGAGACAAATATCCACAGGCAATAAGGGGAGGTGTACGTTAAACTGCAGGAGAGAATGATCAGGACCCCTCTTTTGTTAGACTGCGCTGTGGGGAAGAGCTGTTTAAATCTCAGGACTGGATAAACAGAAATACAATTGCCCAACCTACAACTTGTATTATTTGATAGTCGCTGACAAAGGTGGATCACTGATGCCACACAACATGTTTTTTTTTACTCTTCTGCACTGCAGTTAAAGAGTTTTGCAGATTTAGGTGATATGAGTAGTTTCAAAAGACACATTACTGTCTATGCAATCGAATATATTATTTTTTATGGTCACAATTCTACTTTTCCTTACATGCATCTAATGTATCTAATGTATCTAATATTTTGAAACACACTTTTTAGCAATTAACAAAGACAGATTAATGTGTCATTTACAACCAAATGCAGAAAAGGCTTGTATTTGTTGTAGTTTATAAACACCATTCTCTTTTATCCCTTGCACATTTTATATAACATTTGTTGACTGAAAACACCATAAAACAAAAAAAGAGAAAACATGTTAAGGATTAATAGCACAGTTCTTCATTATTAGCTCTTGCTTTCTTTAGTCATCGAGGAGGAGGATGAAGATGCTCCTCTGCCATAGGAATTTCGAGATGCTGGACCACGAGATGCTATAGAAAAGAAATCAGAAAATATGGATATCTGTAACAATACTTGCATTTTACATTTATATATTCCTTACAGTTAAATTAGGTATGCATACCCCTATTCTAGGACATACTGTAGACCTTTCACAAGATATATTTAAATGTAAATTCTAAGTAGTGTATAAGTTTAACATACAGTGTTTAGCATAGACTAAAGGTTCAATATACAGTATTAAAATATATATAAAGCCAAAACATTTTCTATTTTGCATAGTGCAGAGAAGGGTTAAAACCCCTATCATTTTTTTTGCCATCTTTGTCCCATTCCAGAGAATCCATTCAGTTTCTGTCCTATAGACACAACAAAAAGTGAGAGGAAATCTCAAATCAAAGTGAGTTAAATGCCCTTTTAGCCAGTTGTCCACAGAACAAATGGAAGATTTCACCTCTACTTCCATTGTGGTTCCCAAGATTTTGGATTTCCCATCATTTTCTGTCTTGGTAAAAATGGTCGCCAGAGAAAATAGAGACAGTAAATCTCCCCAGTGGAGACACAGGCAGCAATAAAAACCTCACAGGGGTGTCAAACCTTCCCTACTCTATCCAAATTGCAAAACAAGTTTTGGCGTTAGATTATTAAGTAAATATACATTTACTTATTTAATAAAGCAATGCAAAGACCAAAGCTAGAGTAAAATCTAGAGCGAAAACTGGAGGACTAGGAAAAAAACTAAAACTAGGAACCATTACCATGGGCCACTACATTTTGTCTTGGGAAAAAAAAGTTGATAGCATTTCTCATTTGAATATTTCTCATTTTGATCAAAGAAGTCAAGGTTCTGATATATAGTGAGTTGTAGTTGTTGTGCCATCCAAATTGCAGTGCAGGAATGCAATGTAGAAATACTACATTGCTGAGTATAGTACCCCTCGGTGTATGTCTCGTGATAACTGCTTGCAGAGGTTACTTACAGGTATTTACAAACAGAGCCACATCACTATCTCCTGTATTGTAGTAAAGTATAGGGATGCGTCGATATTACGGCCGCCGAAACATATCGGCTGAAAATGGCACTTTTGGCAAAATGCAGAAAGTGCAATTTTTTGGCCGATATAGCGGTGCATCTGTGATTTTTCTCCTCCCCGCTGGGCGCTGCTCTGTGTCCCAGCGGAGAGGAGCGAATCTGTCACAGGATGCCGAGCGGTGCGGGAGGAGAATGCTGTGAGCGGCTGGTGTCTATCCTCCCCGCACCGCTCAGCCTCCTGTCACAGATCAGGAGAGCGGCGGTGTTGGTGGAGACAGCCATTGCTGTCACAGGAGGCTGAGCTCTCCTACCGCATCGCCCCACCCAGCCTTCTGTGACAGCATGTCAGGATGGAGAGGGGCTACAAACAATAAATAATTGAGGACAGAGTATGTTTACTGTGTCCCCAATTAAGAAAGAATGGGAAGTGTTTTTCATCACTTCATGCTCATTCATGATTGTGGTTATAGTAAGCATACTATCTCCAGAAGTTATGAATAAACAGGAAATTAAAAAAAAAGTTAGAATAAAAAACATTTTCGGTTTCGGCCTGACATTTTCTTTCATTTTGGTGCACCTCTATTAAGGTATGAACTAAAAGAGAATCTTACCTCTTGGTCCGAAATGCAAAAGATAGCAGTTGTTGCAATATGGTTTGTCATCATACTAAAATAAATACAAACATTAGAATACATAGGCCGAGCACTTTTCACATCTGATCTCAGACTGCTGTCAACTATCTCCTATAGTCTGGCCCAGATTCAGATTATACTAATCAAAAGAACTATACAATAAAAATAATTAATTATGGCTAGTCTTTGATTTGTATATTCATCTACCATTTTAAAAAGCTATTCATTCTGAGAATAGTAATACATCATAGAGATACATTGCAGCACTATATAAAAACATTTTTAAAGCAAATCTGTACTGAGAGAAAAATGGGGGCTACTTTTTTTTAAAACTGCTAGTGGCCCCTGTTTTCATTTATGCAGCGAGTAGCATACTAGTTCTCGGTACATAACTAAGAAAGTGCTAAAGCTCAATTGAACAGCTAAATGCATTGCAGCTGAATCAAAACAAAAGGTGTTCAAAGTGTTAAGCTGGCCATACACCCTACAATTATATGCAGATTTTCTGTGGTGAGATGGAAAAGGTGCAACAGATTCCTCCATCTACACTTAACTGTGTGGATGGAGTAATCTCCACCTGGGCCAATCTGTTGCACCTTTTCCATCTAACCACAGAAAATCTGCAGATAATTGTAAGGTGTATGGGCACCTTTACAGTTTGTTTTCTTCAAAAATCAGCCACAGCCTGAGTAGAAAAGCCTGTGTCCTGCCAGCATTCTGTAAAGAAGGACCCCTTTTCTCTGTGTGAAAGCACACCTTTTCATTTGATGCACTCACAATGTTACATAGTTGTAAGGTTAAATAAAGACTCCATCTAGTGTGTGTGTGTGTGTGTGTGTGTGTGTGTGTGTGTGTAGGAGTCACTAAGAATTCCCATACCTTTGTATATTGTATTCCCTGAGGAAGACATCTAGAAGTTTTTAGGAAAGATAATGTCACCTATATCTAGGTGATTTTATTAGCATTGACTGTCAAGCAACTAGTATTTTCAAACAATGTTATCAATGCCCATCTCTATAATCACCTAGTACACTTTTCCTTTAAATGAGCATTATTGTAACCTCTGTATTTAAATGTAAGGAAATCAACACTCTTTATATTTTATTAGCTCATAAAATTTGTGGCTTATGAAACAATTTGAATTGTTAATGGGTTTATAGTTAAACATGTCTAAAAGTGGTTAAATCCCGACGGTAGCTTTTAAATAAAAATACTTTTTGATTTTTCTAACCTGTGTTAAAAAATGTAGGTTTCTTTGCAATACTCACCTTCTCCCCAACATAGTCCAATAACTGCAGTCCCATTTCATAGTTGAATGACAGGTACCCTCACTCAACTCAGAAGACCAACACAGTCAGTCATAATCATGCCCCTTGTAGACCTCTAGAGAAGGTGCAGCCATCACCCAACCTGGCTGAGCACACACATTGCTAATCCGCTCATAGTATGTTTTGCAATTGAAAATAGGAAGGTCAGACGTCATGTGAGTGCTGCTGGTTTTCAGGTGGCCTCATGTGAAAAAAACAACACTATGACCCGAAGCCACCCGAAGCAAGCCGATGTACGGCTGAGTTCAGCCGATGTACGGCTGAAATCAGCCGTACCAGCCTGAAGTGAATAGCCGAACAGTGTTCGGCTCACTTCACTTCAGATCGGTCATTCACTCGGCTGCCCTCGGCAGCTTCGTGAATAGACCCCTATGTGCAGGGATCAGGAACACACCTATAGATTATCTGCAGATTTTCTGTGGTCAGATGGAAAAAGTGCAACAGATTCCTCCACCTATGCTAAAATGTGTGGATGGAAAAATCTCCCACTGGGCCAAGCTTCAGTATCTGGCTGGTCGGCCCTGCTGGCTGTCAAAATACCTGAACAATCTGATTGGATGCAAGCATGGTTCAGATATTTCGAAAGCCAGTGGGGCCGACTAGCAAGATACCGAAGAAGCTTGGCCCAGTGGGAGATTCCTCCATCCACACAGCTTAGCGTAGATGGAGGAATGTGTTGCACTTTTTTATTCTGACCACAGAAAATCTGCAGATAATCTATAAATGTATGACCAGCTTTAGGTTTTAATGCTGTGGAAATGCATATGTCTGGCTTTCCACCAAGATCACAGACAATAGCTAATAAGCACAGTCCTGAATATGCTTTGTCAGAGCCTTAATGACTGTAATTTGTTACTGCCATGGTTACCGACCACCTACCGTATATTTTTGCTCATGTCAGATTTTCATTTCCAGCGCACACAGATAACCATCATTAGAAATTTGACTTTTTACAGACATTTTTAATTAACAAAAACTTTCATGGAATACACCTGGGGCCTATCACCTGAATAGGATTATCATCATGGATCTGTTAACTTACCTCGGCATGCTGCCCCGCAGTAAGTTGTCTTTTACACTGATAGCATTTAAGGCACAGCGGATGGTAATCTTTTCCTAAAGAACGTTTTCTTTCAGCTAATAGGGAGAAAAGTAGAAAATGTAGATTTATATTCAGGTCTAAAGTGTAAGAAGTTATAATAGAGAATAAGCTGTGCTTATTGCTAAAGAGAAACTGTAACTTTGGCCATTCAAGACAAACTGACAGTGTCTATACATAGCCCACCCCTCAGCCATGTATACTTACCTACCCACACTCCCTTGCCACCTTCTTCTCCAGCATTCCTGCCACTCTAAGCTCCTGTGTTGACTGCTTTCAGAGCTTAGACAGGGGGATGACGCCATGGCATGCC